TGAGTTCCCTGTTGGGTTATTTATTGAACTATGTAAGGCTTTTGACACTGTCAACCACCACAACCTTCTTAAATTACATCATTATGGATTCAAGAGGTCACTCCCTCCAATACCTTCAGTCTTACCTTAGTGACAGGCTCCAGTATGTTTCTGTGAATGATTCCATTTCTCCCACCCTACCCATCAACATTTGTATTCCACAGGGCAGCATACTTGGCCCTCTCCTCTTTCTCATATACATTAATGACCTTCCAAATGCCTCTCAACACCTCAACCCAGTTTTATTTGCTGACACAACCTTCATTTTCTTCAGTCCTGACCCTCTTGCTCTGAATGTTACAATGAATACTGAACTAAATAAAGTCCATCTTTGGCTAACTTCTAACAAACTCATCCTTAACATTGACAAAACTTTCTATATTTTGTTTGGTAATAAATCCTCAGATCAAATTAATCTAAGAATAAACAATATCCAAATTACTGTAGTAACAAAATAGATGGTAAATTCCTTGGTATCCTCACCAAGGCCTTGTGAACCCCATTAATACCTTGTAATAATGGGTGAACCCCCATTAATACCTAAATGGGTACAAGCTGAATTTCCAGGGACACATTCAAAATATAGCAAAAAACAATTTCTAAAAACTGTTGGCATTCTTTCTAAGATCAGATATTATGTACTTCACCCTGTCCTGGTGACGTTCTATTACTCTCTCATCTATCCTTATCTCAATTATGGTGTTTGTGCTTGGGGTTCTACTACCTAAAATCAACTACATCCTTTAATTATTCAACACAAATCTGTTATTAGAACAATAACAAAACTCTGGCCACAGACAGCACCCTTACTTAAATCTTTGAATATGTTAGATATTAAGTCACTGCACATCCTCTCAAGTGTACTCTATATATTTAAAACTCTGAACTGTAATGCCAATCCTGACCTTAAATGCTGCCTAGAAGGTTGTAACAGAACCCATGGGCACCACACCAGAAACAAATACCTATTTGATATTCCAAGAGTGCGCCTTAACCAAACTAGAAGTGCTCTGCAAATCAAGGGACCCAGAATGTGGAATGACCTTCCCAATCATGTCAGGCTGTACCTCTCTCAACCAGTTTTAAGAGAAAAACTAAATACTACCTAATTAACTCCATGTAACCTACCTTACCCCTAAATGTCAACCAATGTTTTGCTATTTTCAAACAATAATGTTTGTTGACCAACTTGTATAATTGCTGAGTTCTGCAATGTCTCCCCCCCCCTCCTTTTTTTTTCCTTTTTCAACACAATTTGTACTTTAATCTCAATTAGTACCAAGTTTTAGTTTAAGTGTTTTTCTCCACACCTTGCCCAAAACGCTGTGCGTATTACTAGCTTTAAGCATTGTATGTACTAGCTCTATCTATAAATCCAACATTATGTTTGTAACTCATCTTGTATGTATGTACTTTTACCTGAATAAACATTTGAATTTGAATTTTTGGTAGTAGACCAAATATCCATCCTACAGGTGGTAGTGGAACCCCATGCCTATCTTACGGGTATGTGGACCCCATACCCATTCTACATGGGGGCCTGATAGCTGAGTGGACAGCGCTTTCAACTCGTAATCCTAGGGTCCGGGTTCGATCCCCAGTGATAGCACAAATAAAATGAGCAGTTTCTTTCACTCTGATGCCCCTGGTACCTTGCAGTAAATAGGTACCTGGGAGTTAGACAGCTGTAAGGGGGCTGCTCCCTGGGAGTGTATGTGTGTGTGTGGGAAAGATTTGCCACATACATTGCATGTTTCTCATCTAATACTTGAACCCAAGACTTTGGAGACCCAGTAGGCTCCTGTCAGATATTTTCCTGATGCTCCCCATCCTTAGTGTGGCTCTCCAACACTTGACTTATTTCCAGTCTATTTCAGCTTTCCATTTTGTTAGGACAAGTGCCCTTTCCTATTGTTTACATGGTCCCCATCTGAGCACTGGCGAGTGAATACTACCAAACTGTATTTTTCAAAACAAATGTAAAGCTAGTATGGCTATATAACATTCTATTTTTACATAATATTGAAGATGTTCTGAATGCTAATACGAGAACAATAAGATGTTTGCCGACTAATAATTTCCCCATAAACACAAGTTCATGCCCTACACATTCCTGTACTGTAAAGTGAATGGAGCTACAGAGGAATAACCCAGAAATGGGAATTTCATAAAACTGCTATTTTTTTTATAAACCTTTAACAAAAATAGATGCTCTATTAAAGTAAATGAACACTAAGTGCATAGGTTAAAAGTGAAAAACAAACTTTTGTTTTTATGCATTCAAGATATGACAAAAATGGAGTTACAGGCTGTGCAACAACCATAAATATCTAATTCTATTAATTTACAAAACATTCTTCTGTACAAACACCTAACTCTCAAACATGTTGGAAGAAGAGCTAATTATCCCAAGATGCTTAAGAATTAATAAAGCAACCCTGGAACCCTCCTGCACTGTGCATCACATCTTTTGTATACTGTGCAACACCTGTTTCTCTTGCATAGTGCAACACAGTTTCATTCCAATCACCTGGGTTCTAGGAGGCTCGAACTGCGGTCCTGTTACGGACCCGAATCCAGCGTCCGAGCACGGAGCAGTGACGACCGCGCCATCTGTGGGTCAGCTCCCGAAACCCCCTCCAAATGGACGGCGACACCTGGTGAGGACGAGGTGTACTGGCCACGAGGGCCAGTTTCCAGTCCTGTTCAGCTCACAACACAGCCGCTGCTGACCTCTGGTGAGGTGGTGCTCAGACGACAACGCCATCTATGGAGTGGATAGGTGGGCGTTTGGGTCTGAGCCTGTAAGTGAGGTGCTTTAGTGTGTCCCTGTTATTGATGACGTGTCTGCTTACAGAGTCGACCTGGGACTGCTGTAAGAGAAGTTGAGTCAGTCTACCCAAGGCAGCCGTCTCGACACCAAGTGTTTTGCTGCAGCAGCTGTGAGTCGCCTCCCGGATGAACACTGTGGTGTTACCCTGCCTGTGAAGCGGCAGTTGAGGATTGTCATACCCGGGACTGACTGGTGGAGCAACCCGTTCTCGCAAATTTAATAAGTCAATATTGACTTATTAAATATGTGCATAGGTGACATACATACCTCATCACATACATAATAGATACCCTTAAAAAGATTCATAGAAAACACCGACCTTACCTAACCTTGTTAGTATCTTAAGATAAGCATCTTATTGCTCCGTAATTACAATTATTACCTAACCTATAATAGGTATAGGTTAAGTAATAATTGTAATTACGAAGCAATAAGATGCTTATCTTAAGATACTAACAAGGTTAGGTAAGGTCGGTGTTTTCTATGAATCTTTCTAGGGGTATCTATTATGTTTAGTATATCACCTATGCACGTAGTTAATAAGTCAATATTGACTTTACGAATTTGCGAGAACGGGTTGGGTGGAAACGCTTAACCACTGGGGTATTGTGGACAAGAGAGTGATCTGTGGTATCACACGAGGCTCCTGACTAGGGCGCTACCCTAGTATCGCTCGTGGAGTGGCCTGACCAGCGTTGCTGATCCGGAACCTGCCAGCTGTCTGCTGGACTTGTGGTTGACGGCCTCCACGGCGGTGCCCCCAGTGGAACTGTGTTTTGGCTGGCCTGTGGCCGGGGTAGACTCAGCTTTTCGAAGGATTCGTCGTGAGGCCACGAGAGCACCGAGAAGATCCAGAGTCTTCAGAAGAAGACGACAGTGTAGATAATACCCCTGTGCAGTGTTTATACCCCCCCCCCCCCGTGTAATCTTCTTATATATATTTATTGGTGAAGGTACTAATTATAATATTAAGTTTTTGCCTTTCTTTCCCTTCCCCTTTTAGTTTACTTGCGTTACTGATCACATCCCTTGAAAGCCACTACTGGCTTGGGGCCAGATACCCTTCCTCTAACAACATCAGAGTAAGAACCCAGTTGCGACCCGAGAGGGCCGTAACAGGTCCCCACGTGTGTGTGAGACCGAAGCTCTATCGACCGAGCTATTGAGACAGCGGTTCGAGTCTCCTAGAGCCCAGGTGATGGAATGTTTATTTCCACGGAACTGTGGATGACAATTTATAACAAAGTTTTACCGTCAGTCGGCAACATGTGCTTCTCCTGCACTGTGCAACACATCTCACTCAAATCTTTCTCTCTCATGCACATGAAAAATTAGCATCAATGCTAAATAAACTTGTAATGACTAAGATAAAACTGTAATGTACAAGTAACAACAAAATACTATACATTATTCTGAAAATGGTTTGTTGTAACTGGTGAAACACGCTACAAACACATCCAGAATACTAAAGCTGATTCACTTAGGAACAACCAAGTGTGATGTATAAATAAAGGGTCAACTAAAACGCCACCGTCCACTCCACGTACCCCGGCTGATGCTCTTGTGTCAGTCACGTCTTTATAAACACCCGAGTCATTACAATTATTGGTCAACATCGTAGAAAATGGGATTCCTTTTAAAAAAAAATCTGGGGGTCGATATTCTTTGTCATGATTGCACAAGCATTTTAAAATTATTTTAGATAATTAATGAGATCCATTGTTTTACAAATTAAATAAAGCACCACTCCTGGTAAGTCTATCCTAAGCTGACAAAGATGCTTCATTGTTGCGAGTGATGGCATGTCCTCTCATTGTTGACCAAATCACACACCAAAAGATGAAGAGACGACGACATTTCGGTCCGTTCTGAACCATTATCAAGTTGATTGTGATAATGGTCCAGGACGGACTGAAACGTCGTCGTCTCTCCATTTTCTAGTGTGTGGTCTGGTCAACATTCTTCAGCCACATTATTGTGACTCATCATCTGTATGTCCTCTCATTCTCTCTCCTAGCAAATTCAAATACTTAACCAAGAACCTCTACAGAAGCTTGGACATGTCAAGGTCATATAATATATGGTCACTTTTATAAAAATCTACATTCCTTTAAAATCTAAAACACTGAAAATGGTGAAAAAATCCCTTAACCCTACATTCGGCAGTGCACATTTGTCACAGTCAGGATATTACTGTAAAATAAAATATGTCTGTACTTTCTCTTCTTAAGTACTAGCTTTTATTTACAATATATAATATTTGACTCAATGAAAGGAAACCGCTCCAGTAAAGATGAATGGAAGTGGTTCTGATAAAAGAGCAAAGCTTAGATGATATACATATAAAACAATTTAAATATAATATGAGAATATAATTTAAGTCATCACATTTGTCTTGCTCTTCTAAAAACATCTTAATCCATTATTTAAGTTTTGTACTCATTAGGTTTCTTTTCTGTCACCTCTCATTGACTCAATCTTAGCACAGATCTTCAAAGCAGGTCCAAGTTTCATGGACATGGCTGACATGAGGTGGTCAGCTTTTAGAAGCATTAATGCCTGCCCATCTATCTCTTGAAGGGCAAAGTCTTCTGCATATTCTTTACAGCCCGGAAGATTTTGTATGAAGTCGACTACATCCTTAACCTGGAGAAAGGAAGACATGTTACTCAAGTTCTATCAAACAGTTTTTGTGATGCAACATAAAAAGATAACTAATCAAGAGCTCAATATTTTATTGTTACTTACTTTACATGGTATTATTCAACTCTTACTCTTATTACTTCTATTTTTCCTCATTATTTTCTTTTATAACATGCATGAAGTCTGGACATTTCACTTGCATATTCTACTCATGTTTTCCAGACTGACATTTTTCTTGTATTCTCTGCTCATATTTCTTCATAAACAGAATAGTGATAAGATAAATTGTGACATTTTATATTGTTTTGCTCTCGACTACTTGTCCCTCAGATTCAGCACAAATACAGATCAGGTTGAAAATGATATACTAGTGGAAGCGCTCTACTTTCTTACACTGCACTCTGATGCTTGGTTGGTTCGGTCAGGGGTGCATCACGTGCTGTGCCCGGTGGCAGCTCTTCGCAGCTACCTTTGTGCGCCGATTCTGCTTCAGTGGATGCATTGTGGGTTGTTCCATTACCTTGGTTCCTTGTGTTTTTCAGGTTGTCCACAATGTCCAAGTCTAGCCAGCCTGTGGTCTACCCTTATTCATGTTGGTAAACATGCTGCTCTCACAGCAGTTTTTGCCAACGTGTCCTGGATTAATATTCGGGTACAGAGGTTTTGGCAGCCTGGTGTTTCACTAATGTCCACAGGCCTAGCCATGCCTGTGTTGCCTTGGGTCGTCTCTCTTGATCTTCTGTCTCTTCGCTTTAATTGCCTGTGGTCTATCTTTCTCCCTGGAGTGTCCCTGGTTTTCCTTTCTCTTTAGGTAGTTAGCTTTAAGGAGTCACAAAGGGAGCTTTCTTCAGGGAGCTCCCTAAAGAAAACCAGCATTGAATGTAATGAAATGCCTCTTTCTGGATGAGCCCCGGTGGCTTCCTGTCCCCCTCCCTCCCTCCCTCTCACCCTCCCTTCCAGGTTTGTTCATTTTGTGTCATTACATCTGTTACAAAAGTGGCGTGGAGGACTTGGGGGAAACCTGGAGCTCCAGGCCCCTCCCCAACTGGCTCAGGGATGAGGGTACTAATGAGCTCCCGCTAGTTTTGAGCGATTCGATTGTTTGTTTACACTATTTGGGGGGAAGCTTGTTTGGCAATCTTGAGGCTTTAGTCTATTGGTTCACTTCACTGGGGGTAGGGGGGGGGGGGGGGGCAGAATGTCGCTTGCTCTCTGGGCCTGTGTAAGGAAGGGTCTGACTCTGGTCCCTGGTAAGCCAAACTCAACTCCATGGCTGATAGAGTTGAGTTTGGCTGCTCAGCAAAGCAGCTTCACGGAGCCACAAGGTCTCCCCCAGAGAGGCAGGTCAAAATATTTTGTGTACATTTATACATTATAAATAATACTTGTATATCATCAAAATAATTGTTTAAAAACTGTTCGAAAACATTCAGAAACAACAAACTGTCATTTGCTAAAATAAATGTGGAGAAAAATGGATAAAAAAAAGGGGCAATTATTTAGTAATTTATATCATTCACAAATCTAGAGCCCATGGTATGGAAGGCATTTTACCTTAAAAACACAAACCTTTGGGTTATCTTCACTGGGCAAAATACCTGAGAACTTGATATGGGAGGTACTGCAGCCCAATGAATTCACGATTCTGGTAATCAAAGGCACTCATAAGATACTTCCTGGGGGGGTCCATCTAATTACCCAAAGCTATCCAAACTTACTCAAAGCTACACAAAGCTTCCTAGCATTACGTTAGTAATGAATAAATATGATATATTTATTCATTAAAATGTTGGTGCTGAATGTAGAACATGAAAAACATTTTTACTCTGAAAATTATCATTTTATAATGAAATTAGATGAAAATAAGACGCTGGTGATGCCAAAGCAAGTCGACGGTCCAAGCGTCAATGTTTGCTAGCATATGAGCCTCTTGTACCTACCTAACCTAACCAATCTACCCAAACATAACCTAATCTAACCTAACCAAACCTAACCTATCCAAACCTAACTTAATATAACCTCTAGGCAACAATATATCTTGAATAATTTGTTCATCTTGGATAAGTCGTTCCACAACATTGCCGCTTGGACCGTCGACTTCCTATGGCCTCTCATGCCACTTAGTTTCGTCTAATCTCATTAAAATTTATATTATTTCAGAGTAAAAATATGTTTTATCATGTTCTACATTCAACATCAACAATATAGTGAGTAAATATATCATATTTCCTCATCACTTACGTAATGCTGGGAAGCTTTGGGTAGCTTTGGGTAATTAGCCGGACTGCTTCCTGGCAGTATCTCAAAAGGTTATTATGTGTGAAGTTTGGGTTTTCATCTACTCTATATTGTTATACAGTAGATAAAGTGGCCTAATGCCTAAAGTGGCTTTAGGCATTGTATGTACTAGCTCTATCTATAAAGCCAACAAACTTTGTAAATCTCTTTATGTATGTACCTTACCTAAATAAAGATTATTATTATTATTATTATTATTATTATTTTTTATGGCGTTGCACTATTTCAGCCATTTTTATTCTCAAATATTTCCCTGGTATATAGGCTCCATCTCCATAAGATATTTAGGCCTTGTAAAGGTGTTTAGCTAGAAGAGAGAAGAGTGCTCTCACCAACCTCAAAGTACAACCCACACTGGGGGCACAGGCAGCCAACACATGTCATGCCAAAGACACTACACTTGGGGTTGGCAATTGGTGAAAAAATAGTACATTCAAGCTATGAACTGACTCGATTATCTCTCAAACCTAAAACATCTCTCAAACCTAAAACATCTCTCAAACCTAAAACATCTCTCAAACCTAAAACATCTCTCAAACCTAAAACATCTCTCAAACCTAAAACATCTCTCAAACCTAAAACATCTCTCAAACCTAAAACATCTCTCAAACCTAAAACATCTCTCAAACCTAAAACATCTCTCAAACCTAAAACATCTCTCAAACCTAAAACATCTCTCAAACCTAAAACAGAGAAGCGAGGAAAATACTTTACGAGTCATATTAAATACTAGTAGCATGAAGTCTAAAAACTTGCAAATTATTTGTAAGTCTTAGCAGACTAGCAGTCACCATGGAAGGCTGATCCTAGGCTAGGATAGATGAATAGGAGCAGCCCTTGCAATTGGATATGGTTTATAGATAGAGATAATGTCACATGCATCCATATGAACTGCAGTAATTATGCCCTTCAGCAGACCTCTCAGTCCATATGCTTATGTGGCTCATCCTGCCTCATGCAGATCTAGACCTAAATTTTTATTATAACTTTAGCTCTCTGCCTTACCTGCGCACCTGTCTTGCCTATCTGACAAACAAGTCACACGTCTCAAGTTGCCCATCGCATACATTTCTCTTCATTCAACATTACATTGATATCCCTTGTCTTTCATCGCCCAAATTCCGCTTTTCTTTACTTTTCAATAATACCCGGTATACTGAAATGTTACTAGCTTGCAAATATCTTACCGTCCACTTGAGAATGTCAACTCTCTGAGTTTTGGAAGGAGATTCTACAGTTGTTCCATCGCCCTCGACAACTGTCTCGTCGACTTCCATTCCTACTGGCTCTGTTCCCTGAGGCTCAATTGGCACCAATGGGGGTGCAGCATCGGCCTCCTCCATTCCACCATCTTCCCGTGCTCGTTTACTAGGGCATTCCTCGGGATTTTTGAAGAGACCAATTCTTTTTGAACACCCAACATTGTACCTGTTGAATAACCATTTCAAATTATTTTAAATATAATATATACTTATTCAATATAATTTATTAATTTGATGTATTTTATTACATTGTGTTACAGTTTACAGAAAACACACACACATAAGAGTCACTGTTCGAAGACCCCATCCAGCTCTTTAGAGGTTGGGTGCATTCCCAAGATACAGCAAGAATTTCCTCTCTGGATCGCCACACTGAGGTGCTGGAACAGGAAACTGGCCACTCTCGAGTCTCTTAGTTTGCCTAACAAATTCCTCGCCCACCTCCTTTAAGAACTTTAGTGCACATTTACCCCAAGTGCTCAGGGTCTCAGAGCCTATTGCCACAACTCTGTAACAATGTTCTAAGTCCCTGTACTTATTAGTTTTCTGGGTCTCCCTGAAGGTGGCCGCCCCACTTCCCTCAGTCGTACTGTGAGGTAGATATATACTTTCATGTAAAATTGTAATTCTTTAGTTAAAAACTAAACTCATATAAAACCAAATTATTATTTGGTTCAAGAAGCACTTTGTTATGAAGAGATAAGGAGGGAGCTGTAAGTGCATGTGGGTCATATCATCGCTCAGTCCTTAAGCAACATGGGGAGCCGGTCGGCCGAGCGGACAGCACGCTGGACTTGTGATCCTGTGGTCCCGGGTTCGATCCCAGGCGCCGGCGAGAAACAATGGGCAGAGTTTCTTTCATCCTATGCCCCTGTTACCTAGCAGAAAAATAGGTACCTGGGTGTTAGTCAGCTGTCACGGGCTGCTTCTCCTGGGGGTGGAGGCCTGGTCGAGGACCGGGCCGCAGGGACACTGAAAGCCCCGAAATCATCTCAAGATAACCTCATCATCTCAAGATAACATGACCAATTCATCCATCTTTTTTTTACAACTTCCTCACTATTCACCAAATTTTAGGATAACACTTTTTATCATTTAGAAAGCTTGCTCAAGTGTGATGGTGCGGACTAGTAGGGATGGCAAGGTGTACAGACGAGTATCTATAACTTACTGAAGAAAGCCATATGCCATTTAAAATTGGCAATATAAAAATTATGTAAACAAGTACTATCTACCTATCAGATTGTTAAAATGTTCTGAATGAAAATCAATAATGCTTAACAAAACTAAAAAACACCATGAGAAACTTGAGCTCAAAAGTTTCCATGGAGTCTCTCTTTATAGAGTAACCAACATTTTAGAAATACTATTTCAACTAAAACTGAAAACAATAACAAACAAAAATAGATAACAAAACAAGCCACTTTACTGCCTCAAGCAAAACTTAGGCTAATGAGACCCAACACTTGTGAATCCATGTCAGAGCACAAATTAACAGATTCCGAATACTGCGTGTGTGTAAACACTGCATACGTAACATGGCCAAGGCCCAACATGACGTTAAGAAACTGCCTTACCGAGATGCTGTTCGCAGTTCAATAATTGTTTGATATGTAACAGTTGTTAACATACACAGTAGAGCCCAGTAGGCTCAGGAACCTGTACACCAGTTGATTGACGGTTGAGAGGCCGGACCAAAGAGCCAGAGCTCAACCCCCGCAAGCACAACTAGGTGAGTAGGTAAGTACACAGAGAAGTCACAACGTGATATATTGCCAGAACAAAAGTCAACCTCATCGAGAAGCAACTAGATAGGTTGAACTAGATAGGTTGCTTCTTCATTAAGCAGCAAGTGCCAGATCAACCAGGTTGTTGTGAATATGAGGGCCTACTGGCCATCCTAAGCAGCAGTCTGCTGGACCAAGCTCTCGAAGCTCAGGCTTGGAGAGTAAAGAACTACCAGAATCCTCTCCATGTACAGTCTAAGAAAATTCTTGGAGCAGTAGAGAGGGATCAAACACGCATCCTAGGACCAATGCTCCAAGGATTTTCTCAAATGTCAGTATTAACAAACACCATCAATGCCATACATCATTCATAATAGGTGCTGCAAACACAGTATGGCAGCTGCCTCCACTCTCACAGCCACAAGGAAATGAAAAAACCATGACTACAAGATGTCACATCACAGCTAAATAGAGCTGGAGGTCATTTCCCAAAAACACAGCATCGCTGGCACATTTCAGTAGTTTCAAAGCGTTATATGACAAAGAGTGCTGGGAAGACGGGACACCACGAGCGTTGCTCTCATCCTGTAACTACACTTAGGTAATTACACACACACACACACACACATACACACACACACACACACACACACACACACACATACACACACACAGTGGAGGCCAAGACCGTCAGTAGTTTCGAAGCGTTATATGACAAAGAGTGCTGGGAAGACGGGACACCACGAGCGTAGCTCTCATCCTGTAACTACACTTAGCTAATTACATACGCTGTACTTGTAAGCATATTTCATATTTACCTTTTAGCACAAGCTGTACTGCAGAACCTCTTGGATCTTTTGAATTTGGAGCGCAAGTCAGTTTTTCCACAAAACTCACACTTGGCTGTGTCTCCTTTAGGTGAGGTTGAGGTCTGTTCACACGTCTTCTTTCCTATAAACACATGAAATATATATTAACATTTTAATACCTTTACCAACAAATATTGTTTAGAAAATATTTATTGAAGCAATACAGTACCTAAAATTTATACACCAAGTAAATACAACTCTTTTCAGATTAACTAATATTTATCTAAACAGGTTAAAATGGTGCTAGATAACATTAGTGGTTTAAATATTCTGGAATATTTTCTTTTGTTATGTGGCCATCCCCTAAGCGTGGCACCAGAGCTATAAATTTATAAGCAAAATGGAAATAAATATACTGTATTTACCAAATCTAAATCTTGATAACTTTTATGTTATGGGGATGGAACTCATTGTCCGAAATTAGGCTCTATACCGAAAAAACTGGATAACCAATATTTGTGGTGCAAGGCTCTGATAAGTTCATTAATTTAATGTTTATAAAACTTTACACTTACATTCTTATTTGTGGTCAGAAATAATTAGTTAAAAGTTTGCAAATAATTGATCTATATCAACATTATAGCGATTAACCAGACTGTGACTCTAATGTCAGGCTGCGAATGGGCGCATTGAACAGTCTGAGTGATCAAACCAGCAATCAGGAAGCCTGGTCAGAGACTGGGCCGTGGGAACACTGATCCCCGAGATCATCAACAGGTAGGTAGGTATTGAGACAGAATGAGGAAAACATTATTTGAATTCCGTTCATTCAATAAATGTTGAAAGTTAATATTTACTTATTTTCATTTTGCCAAAGAATTTACTTGCTTAGAACAATGATTTCTTTATAAAAATTTTGGAAATGAATGATCTTTAAAACACAAAATCAAAATATTATTAAGTTTCGAAGAAACCACTGATTTTACAAAAGTTTATTTATATTTCTATACAGTATTAACCAGCTATTAATGATTACAAACATATTTTTTAGATGTAAACATGTGCAAATAATTTATTTATAACACTTTCAAATGAAGGAAAATTAATTTAATAATGTTTATTCAAAAACTGTTGAAAGTGGAACATAATGTGTGGAGAAGCATTGACTGTGGGTTTAGGCAGTGCCGGCAAGTAGGTAGAGCGGCAGTGTACCACAAACTCCCCACTCAATGTGCAGTATTGCAATCATTCTGCTTCATTATGTGCCAGAAAGAATTCTTAGTATACCTACTGGATGCCCCATACATCCAGTGTGTAGCAGAAAGGGTGGAATACTGCTCGATACTAGAACTACAGTATACTGTATTTTGCTAACAATCAATTACAATCACACTGTGATTTAAAACATATGTAAACAAAACAAATTTTTGTTTTACATTACAAATAATATTTATACCTAACAAAAATAATTGTTTATATATTATTTGTCTTAATATGGATAAATATGTATGGCATCACTTGCTATAAGAAAAATCCAGAGAATCTGGTGGTAAATTATCTCAGAACTAAGTCAACTCTCATACTAGGAATAGTTGAGAGCCACAGGTTTAACAACGTTGCAAACCACATAAGACAGGATGGATCTCATCGAGACTTTTAAAATGCTGAACGATATTAATCCAGGACATTTTCTTAATAGGTCAGATGGAACGCATACAAAGAGCAACGACTTCAGGCTCAACAAGCCACAACGTAGCATAGAAAACAAAAGATGCTTTGTCACAAATAGGGTTATAAACCCATGGAACTGCCTACCCACTGAAGTCATAAATGCAAAGACATTACTGCAGCTCAAAATCCAGTTGGAAAAAAAAATTATGATTAATGGGGTGACCTTTGACAAGCCGCCAACTTTCTGTTCACGTTGAGGCCGCTGTGAGATGTGGCCCTCGGATAAAGTCAAGTAAACAGACAAAAATAAGCAAGCTTTCATGCACATCATGATCAGGTCCAGAACAACATAATTCAGATTTTAGAGGTTATCTTGAGATGATTTCGGGGCTTTTAGTGTCCCCGCGGCCCGGTCCTCGACCAGGCTTCCACCCCCAGGAAGCAGCCCGTGACAGCTGACTAACACCCAGGTACCTATTTACTGCTAGGTAACAGGGGCATAGGGTGAAAGAAACTCTGCCCATTGTTTCTCGCCGGCGCCCGGGATCGAACCCAGGACCACAGGATCACAAGTCCAGCGTGCTGTCCGCTCGGCCGACCGGCTCCATTAGGTGCACCCGTACTACATTAGCACGTAATGCACTAATATGCAGCAAGTGTAAAATATGACAAAAAATAGAATAAAGAGAGAAGTAACGGTTTCACATTCCTTGGCTTCCTAACAGTTAAATATAAAACTTTTCCTTTGATAGACATTAGACAAGAGACAAATAAAATCAGTCGAATGTTTCGAAGACGACACCTGGAAACTAAAACCATTAACAAAGGACTCTTCCACGTATTTTGTTACGACCTTTTACCTGCTAAGTATACCACATGTCATTCAAGTACTGTATTTATACCTCAATATATCATGCAACTGCACACTACTTCATTAATGTGATGAAAACAAACAAAAATCTTTAGTAAATGTTCTGAGCAATGCAGTCGAGTCTTTCACATTAACGGTGTGAAAATGGTTGGTAACCCTATCAAGACAGATTCTGTATACATCAATCTTTTGTGGGAAACCAAATGCACAACAGAGATGGATATGTATTGCAGGAAAAACTATCACAATGAAGAAATACACTGAACACTAACTATATAATGGTCAATATTGATCAAATTCAGTATCATAAGAGCAGTGGGCAAACAAACAAACAAAAAAAAAGTATATGAAAATGACATGACTGCATTTAGCTGAGTTCTATCCAAGAAGCACTGACAAAAAAGCCAATAAACATTCTTACTGGCAGCCTCATCATCGGGCAGGTTCTCTTTCTCGGCTTGTCCTCCTATGGGTGCCTGCGCCGAGGAGGAGGTGACGGCAGCCACTGGGATAGTAGTGTTGGTGTAGTTGGGAGGCCGAGGCTTCGAGATCTCAGTTAGCAAAGATGATCGACTCACAGGGAATGGCTCAGAAGCTGTTAAAAGATTCGACTTTCTTTTAACAGCTCATTTTTCGATATTCTTTCATACAGAATACTTGGCAAATTATAAGGATGTAAATGTAGGGAAGCAGTTTAAAATTATTTATTTATTTCCATTAAGATGATGAAAATAAATGTATATTATAAAGTATATGTGAAAAACTTTGTTATAATATTAAGACTAACACATGAAAGTTGCAGTGCAACATTGCATGTAATCCATCCTGTTGCTTGTGATAGAAACAG